TTTTTTTGAGTTGTTGATGGCCATCCTGACTGGAGTTAAGTGGTATACCAGTGTGGTTTTAATTTGCATTTGTTTGATGAGTAGTGAGGCTCAGTATTTTTTCATGTATCTATTGGCTGCTTGTGTGTCTTCTTTTGAGAAGTGTCTATTCATATCTTTGGGGCACTTTGTAATGGGGTTGTTTGTTTTTTTCTTTTCAGCACATTTGTGTTCCTTGTAGCTCCTAGATGTTAGGCCTTTGTCAGATATTGGCCAATATTTTTTCCCATTCTGAGTTGTTGGCAAATATTTTTTTCCCATTCTAAGTTGTCTCCCTACTCTCTTGATGGTTTCTTTGACTTTGCAGAAGGTTATCAATTTGTTGAGGTCCCACTTGTCTATCTTCTCTCTTATGGCATGAGTTTTTATTTCATTTGATGATCCATTTTAACTACAAATAAAAGAAAGCAGTAATTGTTTTATATTCACTGAATCAACAGAACAGCCTTTCCATGCTTAGTAGCATAATATAGAGGAAGCACTACAATAGGTACAAGTCACCCTTCCCTTGATGGTTTAAGGATCAAGTTACCTAGGTAGAATGGAATGTCACAAGCTTTCAGGACCTTAAGTCTTTTGGTATAGACTCTTTTGAGTTATTATAATAGATTCTGCAGCAATATAAAGTATAATTAACTATGAATGGTGATTACTTGAGTTAGAGGGGGAAAATACCTTGTTTTCTTGGGGATTTTCTTTTTCATTACTCTCACCCAACCCAGCTACATCAGATCTTAAGAGTTCATCACTTTTAATGAAAAAAAAATTATTTGTCTTCTCCCAATCATGATTATTTATCTATTTGTAATATATTTATTCTACAAAGAATTATAGCAGACTAGAAAAATACATTTAAAAACAAAGCAATAAATATTTTTTAAAGGGAAAATATTTGGCACAAGGTAGAAAACTAGATGAGAAAACTAGGTAAGAAAACCACAAAGTTGGATGACATTAACACACATAAAATATCTACCCTGTGTTCCTCAATAGTTGCCAATGAAGGACCCACAATTTTGACCCTAAACTTCTTAACACTCAAAGCAAAGTTGTAAACAAGATCATTTGCATGGCTCATGATATTCCTGAAATTCTTGAAACAAAAAAATGTATTTATTCAAAAAAGAACAGTTTGTTCCGGCACTGACAATGCTTATCATGTCAGGGGACTGAGATGTCTAAGGATGACATATGTCAGTATATTTTCCATTTCTTTGGCAAGAACCAGCACATGGACCCACCTGAGCACAAGGTAACAGGAAATTCTATTATGTGCCCTCTAAGTTGAAAACTTGGCAAACAGTACTAATGATGTCTACACTAAGAATCTTCAAAATCAATAGATTCAACACCCTCCATATTTGTGATACATGCTGCTATCAAAAAAACTGGATTTTTAACTGTCTGTTAATCTAAATCAGTGATATGATATCAAAAGTTATTTAATAAGAATAATTACATTGAGAAAGAAGCATTATTTGAACATAGTAGTGGAAACAAGAAAAATTTGGACTGCGTTGATAGCCACATTTATTACATATTAGTATGTATGACATGATGTGTTTTGCATCAAAAAAAGATTTAAATAGAGCCAGAACTAATTTAAAATATATACACTGCCTAAGTCAGCACCACTTGGTCAGCTCAGCAGACAAATGCAGTTATCAAAATTCAAGGATAGTCTTTCCAAGGAAAAAGTCAGTTATTAAAGAACTATTAGAAAACTTCCCAAATCATGATTATACTTTTTATTTTGAAAAATGACATTTATCTTGATGTGACATTTTCTTAATCCCTTAATGACGTTTAGTTGAAATGCCAACATGCAGAGAGAAAATCATAAGGTGAATGCAATAGTTTTATTTATAAAGTATGCTACTATTAGGCAACCGAGCTGATGGCTCCATCCAATCTACAGACCACTTTAAGAACAATTGCTTTAAAAGCACCTCCTTTGTTGCCATTGACTTTGCTGCTCTTGTCTAAAAGTTTCTTATTCAGCTGGGTCCTGGAGGGTTCACAAAGTTGACAAGCCAATGATCCACGATTAGACTCATTTCTCTTTTTTTTTTTGAGTTGGAGTCTCACTCTGTCACCCAGACTGGAGTGCAGTGGCCGCTCCCAGCCACCACAGCCTCGACCTGCTGGGCTCCAGCGATCCTTCTGCCTCAGCCTTCCAAGTAGCCGGAATTACAGGCATGCACTACCACGCCCGGCTGATTTTTTGATTTATTGTAGAGGAGGTCTCGCTGCCCAGGCAGGTCTTAGATTCATTTCTTAATTTCCATTTCTATCAAATTCCAGAGAAGAACCAGGGGGCACTAACCCAAGAAAGTAGCTAGGAAAGAGAAAAGGGATTTTTTTTTCCTGGTACAACAAATTAAAAGTGAACCTGGAGGATCCAAGGGTTCTTTTTGCAATAAAAGCAGCCCATTGGCTGTTTATTCACTGCATTTTCATATCTCTTTCCTAACACTGAATAGGAAGAATATAAAATGCATATTTGCCTCCAGGAATTATATAAAACAATAATAAAAATAATTCGCTAAATGATTGTTAAAAAATAAAAATACTTATACCCTCAACAGGGGATCAAGATCCTCCATAATGAAGCTTAAAAAGAAAATTTCACCCAAGTGAAAAACTATGAACTCACATGCCTTTGCATTGTATTTTCAGTTTCAAAAACAATATTTTAAACCTTTGTGTCCAGCTCTATATCTTAACATAAAACTTGCCAGTTCTCTTTCAAGAGGTAATCTGGGCTGCAATTACACTATCTAATGACCAAAGTGAAAAATTGGATTTCTGACTGACCCTGGCAGGCCAGCTCTTTATGCTCGAATGATATAAGAGACCAGCTAACAAGACCTCACCATGCATGGCTTTAAATGTTATTGATGGCCCTAAAGCAAGTCTACCCTTTAAAAAATCCTTTTGTGTGCCTGGTCTTGTTATCACCATAGGAGTGACTTACTCGCTGTTAGCTTGTGATTCACAGAGACAGTATCCTGTCATTTGTCTTATATTCATGACATTACAATTTCACTAAATATTCTTCTGCTTTACACATTAGTAGAGACAGCATTCAGAAGTGTCGGGCTGGTGTTCATACTATGTTATGTGCTGTCATCAAATACCCTCTTTATTCTCTCTCATGAAAAATCATTCTGGTTTACATAACTTAGGGACATTCCAGGACCTCTGATACTTGTGTTGTCTTTCCTCAGACATTTTCAATTCATCTGTTCAATTGAAAATCTGAAAGTCTTTGTTCTTGAACGCAAATGTATATATTTTCCATAAAGCAGTGATTCTCAACCACTGCTGTGAAAGTTAGGAACCCAGACTGCACTCTCAGAAATTCTAATTCAGGATGTCTCTGTGATGGAACCTGAGAATTGCTGATTTGAAAACTTTCAGAGGGGCTTCTCACTTGCATCCAGAATTGACCATAGTTGTCGGGAAAATGACCTTAGAAATGTGATTTCTAAGTCTTTTCCATTGATTTTTATACAAAGACCAATATATATATATATATATATAGTACCCAAATAACCTGCCCCAAGGAAGATGATACCTTTATCAGAAGATTTAGAGAGAATAGTTGATCTCCAAACCATTTGCAACTTCTTCTTAGTTGATACCCTTTCCAGGAATCCAAAAGTAAGATCACAGTTAATTAATTTCTTCTACTTTGAACCCCTGTCCTTTCTATTCAGCCCCTTTTTCTCCCCTCTTTTACAAAGTAAAAACAATATACACACTCGCAGAATGTCTAGAACTATCAGGATCCAAAAGAAGCTATTGAGAATCAAAATTAAGACTGTGCGATTTGTATAAGAATAGTCCCTATCTTTAATTTTATAATTTAATCTTTTTTTCTCCTACTCAGTCTGTGGGAAACATAGAAAAGGGGTAGAGAGAAAGGCTTCAGAGATAACTATTCATTTATAAATCCTCGTTTAAACATATCTGCATACCAGCATTGCCAATTCAGCATTTAATGAGTTCTATTCTGAGGGAGGCATTATGCTAAGTACTAAAGCTAAGGAGACCAATAAAATATATCAACCTCCCATATGACCCCGCAATCCCCCTACTGGGAATATACCCTGAAGAACTCAAATCACTCTATGAAAAAGATACCTGCACACGTATGTTTATCGCAGCATTGTTCACAATAGCAAGAACCTGGAATCAACCATGCTGTCCATCAAAAGAGGACTGGATTTAAAAAAATGTGGTACATATACATGATGGAATACTATGCAGCCATAAAAAAGAACAAAATCATGAATTTCGCAGCAACCTGGATGGAACTAGGGTCTATAATACTGAGTGACCTCTCACAGAAACAAAGATCTGGGTATCACATGTTCTCACTCATATAGTGTACCTTGAACATCCATAGTAATACTATAAGAAAAGGACTGATAGTGGTGGGAAACTATGGGGAGGGGAGGGAGATGGGATTAATGGTAGTAATATCTGTCTGGGGAAACACCCCTTATCAACAAGGGTGCCTGAACGAAGCATATTTGTATACCTAACCCTTAACAGTATCCTACAATATAAAAATAAAAAATACTGATATATATATATATTTCTAAACATGAAATTGCACAGAAACCTAAACAGCAATACAGACAAAACCTTGTGCCACCACGGACAACTTCAAATATAAAACTTGTTGAGTCTAAACTATTTTTAAGTTTGATAATTAGACTGATTACTTCTATGTAAGTCAAACTGCGTGTAAAGGAAATAGTATTGGCTGGAGGTCAGTGGCCTCGCTCCACACCAGCCACTAATTGGTCTTGGCTTTCTGATCTGCTGAGTCTGGATTTCCAAAGCTCCTTCCTATACCATGTTCCCAAACTTTTGTAGACACCCTAGTAATTATCCATTTCTTATTAGATTTCTGTTCCTGATTCTTTCCCCTTATTTCTCTTGTGCAGATTCTGTTCATGGGCATGATGACTGAGTACTATCACTACTTTTTCACAACTCTGGTAAGTGCATCTAGGAGAAATGTATTCCATATGATGGGAAACATCTTCACACAGCCATTTCCAAGACAGCCCCATCCATGACAAAAGCAGAATATTGTCAGGGAGATTTCCCTTGCTTTCCTAAGAATTCTTTAAATCTGTTCATGCTAAGCAGCAGGTTTCTCTTTCTTTCTTTCTTTCTTTCTTTCTTTCTTTCTTTCTTTCTTTCTTTCTTTCTTTCTTTCTTTCTTTCAACTAGCATCAATGTGTGAACCTTCAGAAAGGGATTTAAATGAAATTTCATTAAACAAAACTATCAAGTGCAAACTATCCATAAAGAAGTATCATTTAGAATTTCTATACACATTAGAAGATACATCCAACTGTGTTCTGGCATTCTTTGATTTGATGTGGCTTTCCTGTCTGTAACCAGTAGATAACTGGGTTAGCCAGGGGTCATTTGTCAGATGTTTGGAAAATTTTCAAGAGGAGTTTGGAAGATGCTCAGAACATTGAATATTTTGCACCATCAAGAAAAACCATGGTTCTAAGCCTTGGAAATTCAAAAGAAATTCTAAGACACCTTAACTCTTGAGAGAGTACCTGATCAAGAGAGAACGATTTGGGACATCTAAGACATCACAATGATGTGATAACATTCATGCAATTTCAAAAATTAGTGACACCACCCCTCATTACTCCTCCCCCCACATATACATACCCACGCACTCCACTTTCTTACATGAGAGGAACACACAGAATTGACCTCTTTTTCTAATATGTAAGAGTATATCAAATAAAATTTACCCCATATTCTAAGGAGCTCAGCAAGAGTAGAATTTTTACAAATAAAACTGACAAGACAGTAGGGGAATTCAAATGATTTGGAATAACAACCAAGGAGCCAATATATTATTCCCAGAAGGAGTAAATTCTATTTCAGACTCAGGTATCTCTGAGACCATGAAGGGGTGGAGAGGACATCATGAGAAGAATGTTTTTGGATAGTTGTCAAAATCATTACTACTCTTGAGTGTGGGGTGAGGAAGTGGGATACAGGGCAGAACTCAGGTTTCTGTGATCTTCCCATCCTCATCTTCCTGTATCCTGATCATGTCCTCTTTCAGAACAGTCAAGAAAAAACTGGGGAACTTCTAAATGTCTTATGCTGCTCACAAATACGGTTCTTCCTGTCACCATGAACACCTAGGGGTTACTCAAGAAGACATGGTCACCTGTTAGAGCTTTCTACTAGCCCTCACTGTACACACTGTAAAGAACTGGTGTTGGAGAAATCTGAGAAAGAATATAAACAATGAAACCTGGGAAGGCGGTCCTTAATGGAGACCACTGAGGATGAACGCGTTGTGCACTTTTTATTTCTGTTTGCCCCACACTCCAGCTTTCCACATCCTATACTCACAAGGGGACATAGCAAATCGTCTTGGATTTTCCACATTGCATAGAAATGTCAAATTGGTAGGACAACCTAATTTTGCACATGTTCGATGTATTTCATTTTAGCATGTTGAATCCTCAGGGATTTAATAGTGTGCTCTGGAAATTTCTGTCTGAAACTCCTATCTCTGGAGCAACTGTCCCTTTATTTACTGAGGGTGGTAAAGGAATCATTTTTCCTGGGTCTTATTCTTTATCTTCACTTCTTTCATCCTTTTCCCTCTGGTTTTTATCTGCATTCTGCCCTGCTTGACTTTATATTCTTTCCATTTTTGTCCATGATTTTTTTTAAAAAAGTTAGAGAAAAAAATTAGTTACTTAATGCAAAAGAAAAAGTCTATAGTACTTTAAAAGGCAGTGCTGCACACCTTTTCTGATATTGGGCTAGTGGCACAGAACTCATAATTCCACTACCTAGTCCAAAGATGTCTTAGGAAAGAGAAGAGTTTATCAAAAGAATAAATTTGCATGCGTCTTCTGTAAATGCAAATTATGAAATGCTTCTGAAGCTGCTGCTCTTGAATAACCGCTATCATTAATGATAATGTACTGTCTTGTATTGCACTTTCAGAAAGCAGTTACATTGTTAGGAAATGTTTTATGGAAGTTTTTAATTTTTTTTCCATTAAATGTTATTCTGAAAGTTTGGTTCCTCCTTTAATGTAATATATTTTTAATGATATATTTTGAGCCCAATCCTTTTTATGTAAGAAAAAAGTTTAAATCGTGACATAAGGCTATTTCAAATGTGAATTAACTTAATAAGCTCTGGTTTACACCCAGCCTCATCTGTAACAGAAAATACTAGATAAGTAAAAACTTTTTTCCTGAAGCATTGTCTGAAAGGGAATGAGTTGTATTGTTAAGATGTTTTCACACCCATGCAACCATATGCTTCAGAATATTCTTTGAAGAGAAATTTTTGGTTCCTATTTTGCACATGTCCAGTGAGCATTCTTCATGTCCTCATTTGTATGAGATCTGAGTTATTTTCATGAGCCAGGATATTTTTTTTTTCTGGTAGAAGTGGTCTTCCTATCAAATCTACATGCAATTTTCAAATTTTGTCTCTGCCAAAAGATCCAGAACAGACTGAGGTGGCAAGATTTGTATGGAGAAGAGTAGTACTATGACCAGTGGTTCATTCTTGTCCTAATCATGTCATCACTGAGAACTTCAGTTTCTTCATCTATTAAATAAAAGCATTGAGCCAAAGGGACTTAAATATCCCTACCAACTCCCCAAACACTATATCCTAGAAACAGAATTCTTTTCAGAATGTCATATTCTGTGCCCAATGGTGTACTTATGATCTACAGCCAAATTCCTCTTCTTGTCTTGTCCAAACTCTAATAGTATTGTGAAAACAATCTGATGAAAGCAAAAACTGCTTACTGTCTTAGAGTTTCTGAAGCAGCATGCAAATGAAAAACAAAGGGAAATGCTATTGTATCAAAATGGTGTAGTATGGTTGCAATTTTTGTTTTAATCTACAGTAAATTCACTCTTATCCATGGGGAATATGTTCTGAGACTTTCAATGGATGCCTGAAATCTATGATAGTACCAAACCCCATACATAACATATATAGTATGTTTTTCCTATACATACATACATACATAACTAGGGTAAAGTTAACTTTATAAATTAAGCATAGTACTCTCTTGGTTTGGGGCCATTATGAAATATAATAAAGGTGGCTTAAACATAAGCACTGTCATACCACAGCAGTCAGTCTGATAACTGAGACGTGACTAAGTGAATATGGGAGGGTGGCATCTACAGTATGGAGAGCCAGACAAAGAGGTGATTCACCTCCCAGGTGGGATGGAGCAAGATAGCGTAAGACATCCTCACACTAATCAGAATGGTGGGGAATTTTAAAATTATTGTTTATTTCTGGAATTTTCCATCTAGTATGTTCCAACAATGGTAGACTACAATTAACTGAAACCATTGGCCACAGAATCTCAGATAAGGGCTTAGTACTGTATTCTGTGATCATTCATTCTTTTGATTAAGTAGTAGAAGATTACTTTTCTGCAATCATTCATTCTTTTCTGGATAAAGAATGCCAAAATGCTAATTCTTTTCTACTTTTATTATTTTTTATACTGCCTAGGACCTATTTGCTTTAGATCTGGAACTCTACAGGTACAGTGGTGTAAACATGACTGGATTTCGGTTGCTTAACATTGATGACCCTTACGTGTCATCCATCATTGAGAAGTGGTCCATGGAAAGACTGCAGGCCCCACCCAGGCCTGAGACTGGCCTTTTGGATGGCATGATGACAGTAAGTCATTTTAAAATAAAAGCATTTTAGGACATGCTTGAATTCCTTAAGGGTTAGGTTAAGTTCTCATATGCCTTTAAAATGTGGGTGAGAATTATTGTGTGCCTTGAAAAGAGTAAGCTTTTTAGGTATTTTGATAGTTTGTGATTGGCTGTTCTCAAAAACTGCTATTTTTAGCTTCCTGGCAGTACTTGCCCAAGATAAAAAAGTTGACAAGAAGGTCAGACATGCTGGCTCATGCCTGTAATCCCAGCATTTTGGGAGGCTAAGGCAAGAGGATTGCTTGAGGTCAGAAGTTCGAGAACAGCCTGGGCAATATAGTGACACCTTATCTCTACAACAAATATATTTTTAAAAAAGCTTACATGCATAGCCACCACTATCAGCCAAATGAAGACAAAGCAGGAACCAAAGCTAGGACAAGTGAAGTGACATTTACCTCTGGGAATGTGGACCTGGGGAGGGCGGCAGGAGAAGGAGGAACAACTTGCCTATAAAAGTTATGCGCACCCGGTTTGTATTCCTTGCTTCTGCCACATCTCAGCAAGTGGAGCAGATGTGGAAAAATGCTGGATTTACACACTGTCAGTGCATTCAGTCTTCCTGTCCTGGATACAGGTAGGCAGACTTCTGCAGACCCTGACTGCCATATGTTGTTCTAGAAGCAGATGCCAAGCCCGCCTCCTGACAAGTCAGAGATACTCTTCTGAACATACAAATGGCAAACTGCTTCATCGGAGAGCTTCTTCCTAACGTCATTTGTCTCTCGTTGTCAAATGCACCTTCCTTCACTTTATTGGTCTAATGAAGCTCTCTGGATGATGAAGAAAATAGCAGAAAATAATTTTTTTTAAAAAAGTGTTTTCTATGTAAGAACAGCTGCATCTAAGGGGAAAGATATTGGGAATGCTAGGCAGGTAATAGCATTTTAAATTGGCATAGTATTTTATTCTCTAGTCCCATCACCCAGAGAAGCACTCTTGCTTTTAAGATGCAATTTTCTGATGACTAAAAGGTATCATCTCACAGAAAACTTGGGATTTCTTTTTTCTTTTCCTTATGAGGAACAAATGAAAAAAAGAAGTAAAGGAATGAATTAAGTGGTTCTGGATGATTCCATGTTCAGGCTCCCTGTTTTTCAAACCTGAAAATCAAAAAAAAAATACAAAGTGAGCTGAGAGATGATGAGGGAAAGCGTCTTGGTACAAAAGAGCCTTGCGGTGAATTGAAACATTGCTTTGAATAAGAACAAGTAGAAAATTTCCAGGGAAATACTAGACATCTGAAAGGGGAATGGACCACCAGAGACAGAGAGAGAGAGAGAGAGAGAGAGAGATGCTAGTATGTCAGTTTTTCTCTTTTTTCTCTTGGATCTGTAATTCCAGTGAGTTCAGATGTTGTTCAGCATCCTCTGACCACCTTCCTTCCTTCTAGCAAGATTTCTATCACAGGATGATATCTCAAATACTTTGTACCTGTATTTAGAGTGTACCACTAAAGGAGTTACAGTTTGAAGCTATGTTGACACAGATTGTGGATTTATTAAATATTCATCACAGGTATGGCTTAATTTACCAAAAGAAGTGTCTGTGTGTTCAATTATACTGAGCTGACAAAACAGTTTGTACATATTGACTGAGATGAGGAAGATCATTGAACACAGGAGACAGAACTGTGCAATTCAGGGGGAATATAGGTGAGCTAATGCTGCTGATGGCATGGGCTAATGGCAATCCCATGAGCAAGAAGCATGACACAGCTGAGTCTCAGTGGATGGAAGAGGCCCAAAGATCTTTACTATCATCCCACCTAAGGGAAGGGATTCTAAGCTGTGTTCTTATTGTTATTGTTATTATTATTACATTCTATAAAAAGGCAAGTAGGATTTACCTAACCAGAAGAGGGTAGTTCACCAGGTGCTGTAAAAATGAGTAAATATGTCGGGTCGTGTCAATACTAGTTTGTTTGTTTATCTGTATATTTGTTCTTAAAGGGGCAGGATGCTGTGCCCACTAGGAGTTGGAGACAACAGTCATGTAGATAGTAGTTTCGAACTTGATTATGTGAAGCATGATATTGACATTCATTTATCCAAAGAGTCTTCTTTGCACTTCGGTGTTTTCTTTTTTTTTTTATAATTGCTTTTCTTTTTTTTCTTTTAAAATTGTGGGGTACAGTTAAGGGTTCAGTATACAAATATTCACTGTACGGGTACCCTTATTGATGAGGTGTGCCCCCGCTTCACTTCAGTGTTTTCCTTCTGTTTCTCCTGGATGTGATTAATTTGGGGATGTGGAAGCTAAGTCATGGGAAGGCATGTGAAAGAACATCCAATGGACCAATTGCTGAGCCAACAGTGCATGCTTATGACTCCAAGCCCAGGACCAGTGCTACTAATCTTTGCTCTCAAGTTGCCTGTATCCAAACTCTTTCTTCTCTACTTTAAAAATGCAAAGTCCTTGGCTTCAATTCCTTTGGTCCATACAGTAGATCCTGCACTTCATTCATTCTTGCATGTCAAGCATTTGTTGCCCCCACTGTCTACAACCCTACCTATCCTGGCTTCTCAAATGCCACTTCACCAGAGAGAATTGCTATGAACCACTGTCCAGTAGAGCTGCCCCCTCTCTGTCATTCTTCTTCCTCTTATCTGCTTTCCTTTTCTCCATTGCCCTTGTGACCTGGTGTGTTATATTTTTTACTTGTTTGTTTAGTTTCTTCTCCTACAAAAGCACAAATTTCAGGAAGACAGAGGCTCTGTCATTTTGTGCTCTGCTCTATCTCCAGCACTAGAAAAAGCCTAGCACAAAGTATAACCTCACTAAATATGTATTTAATAAAGGAATGAATGTACTCAATAAATATAAATGATGCATCTACTAAAATTCAGTATGTTAAATAAAAAATATTCAAGTAGCACTGAAATAGTCTCATAAAAATGCAGAGAGAATTCTCATAAATAAGAAATAAGCATGATTAGTAAAAACAGAGATTATTTTAAAGTAACAATATTTGTGAATGTTAAGGCATAGACTATCAACTATTAATATTTAAGTAATACTACTACTATTATCATTACTTCTCTGAAATCATATGCATTATCTCACTGTTCTGTGACTTCCATATAGCCCTTTATAGCCGTATTTTTGTGAGTGTCACATACATACACAGATGCCCATATGAATATAAAATATATATAGGAAATTAGAAAAGATGAGAAAAGTTAATGTGTTTTTACTTCGCACCTAATTATGTATTTCAATATTTTTAAATATTAAAAATTTCTGGCCAGGCTTGGTGGCTCCAGCCTGTAATCCCAGCACTTTGGGAGGTTGAAGCAAGAGGATTGCCTGAGCCCAGGGGTTCAAGACCCAGCCTGGGCAACATGGTGAGACCTTGTCTCTACAATAAATCAAAAATTAGCCAGGTATGGTGGCATGCACCTGTAGTTCCAGCTACTTGGAAGGCTGAGGCAGAAAGATTGCCTGAGTCCAGCAAATCGAGGATATAGTGTCCGTGAGTGTGCCACTGCACTCCAGCCTGGGCTACAGAGTGAGACAACAACTCAGGAAAAAAAAAAAGAATTTTTAGTAGGCAGCCGTGTCTCATACCAATAAACCCAGTGCTTCAGGAGGTCAAGGTAGGAAGATCACCTGAGGTCAGGAGTTCAAGACCAAATTTTTTAAGAATTTCATACATTAAAAAAATCATCAAAGAATATTATTATATATGTCAAAGCATTCAAATCTGAAAATAGAGAAGTCAGTCATGTCCAACTTCAAAAAATCTTTACACCCAACTTAAGAATAATAGATTTAATTAAATAATAAAATGATATTAAAAATAAGATCAAAATTGAGTTATTAAGAAAACTGTTACTGACTCAATAGAGTTCAAAAACAGAGAAACGTATTATTTAGAAACATCTTGAGAATTAAAAAAAAAGTGTTTCATCAACTGAAGTGTTAGTTAACAGAAGTTAGGAATTATTTTTATAAAATCTACTTTGTTCCCTTTTTCTATGTTTAAATTTTCTCAGCACTTGGACTGATTTAATCTACTGGTTTTTGGCTAGACTGGGGTATAGAATGACCTATTCTCAAATGTGTTCTTCTCTGTGGATCAAAATTGTGTATGATTCAATATTGCTCAGGAATCAGGAAACAACAAAACATGGATCTGCCATCTGCCTTCCCAGCTCTTCAAACAGTATGAAGTTAATTCAGTTGCCTTCTCCTGCTCTCTTACATGTGAACACTTTCCATAATCATGGTCCACAGGGAAGACATCCTTGAGTATCCACCTTAAGTGTCCTCTGCTACTCCTGTGATAAAAGACAATAGGAAGCTGGATTCAGTAGAAAAAGCAAAATTCTTTCCAGATATGGAAGGCCTAGATTTAAGTTCTGGCTCTGTCTTCCGACTAACCAAGTGACCTAAGTTATTTAGCCCCTCTGAGCCTGTTAGCTTGTCTGTAACTCTGTATAATAATACTTTGCAGTGTTACTCTACAGATTAAATTAGATAACTCATGTAAAGCCTCTAGGACACAGAATTGAATTTACTTGATGGGACCTCATGTTTTGCCAGTTTGTAGACAATAAAAGAATAAAAGACATTCTGAAATACCAGGAAAGATTCCATTTGTTTATAAAAAACACATTCCTTGACTTGCATATGTAGCTAAAGTAGACTCTCACTTGGGATCTTTGTGACTTTGTGTGATCAGTGGAACCACCCAGGTGTGTTTTTCAACTTCACATATAGTTCTCTTTCACCTGTTCCTCACTGTCTCTCTCAAAAGCTGGTAAAGGCTCATCGAGACTCACAATATGCCAACCTGTCAGCAAGGTCTTACTGGACCTTCTGGAGTTGCTATCCTAATTACTGAACTTCTAGATTATGGATATATGCTGTTATTTTTGTATTTTTGCTACCTCCCCAACCTATTTCCATCCCATTTCACTTGTGGGTGGCTCTTCCCTACTTCTTAGTGCTCAG